AATGTTGGTAAGGCCTAGGCGAGGTCAAAACTGCAGTCCACTTCTGTCTGGATTAGAACAACTTTTGGGAAAGCAAGGCTATGTGAATTTCAACGGACACGTCATCTCTGCTCATATCCTTGTGTGAAAATTCAACTAACAGTCTTTCATCACCTTAAACGAAATAGGGTGAATTCATTTCATAGAGTATTGTTTTGTCTAAAAGCCTACTTATAAACGAATAATAATGTTTATTCACTTTGGTCGCACTGAAAAAATCACTAAGTTGTAAAAACATGGTCAAACCTTTTTCATGCAATGAAATGAGACTACGATCAAATCGAAAGCCACTATATCCTTGTTTTCATTTTTAAGATTAATCGTGTCAAGCGGCGTTTAGATGGGTCCATGTTTAAAAGATCCCGAGGAACCCTACACCCGGGTCAAAGAGCAGACATCCGTTTGTGTGATTACGCCTCCATCAATTGTCATCTCAGTCACCAACCTAAAAGAGGTACAGCTGATTCCTACATTCAAAATATTTGTCGCGCAAACGACTAGCTATCACTCCGTCCGTTAAGAGTTGTCCTCTCTTGAAGTCAGTTATCCCAACTAAAAGTAGCTACTTTTTTTCTCGCCCTCTGGTCCCGGTCGTTTCCCCATTTGTCACCCTTGGACATGAGTCTTGTGAAAGGGAGAATGTGTTAGCTGTTGTGCGATCATGCCCGATTCCGAGTCCCTTATGTTGCCATGGCCTCGGATTTCGAGCCACCTCTTTCCACTTGGTATCTCGTGAGGGGTCACTATTTTATGTCTAGCCTTGAATGTGCTAACCAGTGTGTCTATGTGTGTGTATATATATAAGTGTGTGTGTGTGTGTGTTGCTGTAAATCAGCGCCTGCAAAGCATGAACTATGATTAAATTGTGGAATCACCTTTTGTCGTCAAGTCGACAACAGTATCCGCCCCAATGAGATTGTCAGATTACTGCCGTGGTCTGAGCTGGTTAGGATATACCTCAAAATCTCTGATTACCTACTTAACTCGTTTTTTCATTTAATCAGCCATGAAATTGGGCCGCAACTGCGACTGCCCGCCTACTCGATGTGTATCAATCAAGACGGTCCTCCTAGGCACCCCTCTGGTGGGCCAGTTTGAACCACATTTTCTCAAAATCATGCACACCTCTGTGTGTGTATGTGTGTGTATGTGTGTATTCTCGAGAGGCCGACTTAAATGGAGCACTTACGAGGGTCCAGTGGTAATGTAGGGCCCAGTGATTAGTCTCAAGAGCAAGGAGGGCGGATGGAGCCGTCTGTGGCGAATAAAATGCACACAGCTGCTCCACTCTTGACACCAATTTCCCACTCGTCCTCTGGTTCTGTTCCAACCCACCCCCTCCCACACTCCCCGGACAAATCTCTTTGCCTCTTTCACGAGCACATCGACAAGCAGACAGTGATAGTGAAGCACACAAGCTGACGTTCAATTGGCCCATCTCGTCTTCTGGCCCAGTCCAGATCCGTCTCTTTGCCCGGTACCGGAGCTTGCCCCACCCGCCAGTTGGGGCCGGCCTGCAATCACCATAAACTTATTCGTCCGAACCAGCCTCCTCTAGTCCCAGTTTCACAGGCGTCCGTGGTCCAGACGAGCCTAGGCCTTCTCGGCATGTCTCCAGACTCCAATGTTCACGATTCCCCCAACACCAGTTGGTCGTATCCCCTCGTCTGGGCTCGACTCATCCTCCTCTTGAATGTGCATTTCATTTGCGATCTCTCTCTCTTTCTCGTAAAATCGTCTTCGTCTTCCGCCCATTCTCCACAACGTTGGTTACCATGTGCTGTAAACACCACCCGAGTGACCTGTGCCTCGTGAAGTTGAGGCTCTGCCGGCCTTTTAAGTAATTAGAGGGCGAGAGAGTTGGCTCCTTCCCACTTTACCTCCTGTCCCACAAGGCAGACTAGACGCCTGTTATTTTTTTTCATGGCAATACCTCTCACCCGGTTATGCTATTGCGTAGAATTGACACTTCCTAGTTCATTATGATTTGACTTTCCCTTTTGGAGGGAAAGTTGTTAATTTGGCCTCGCCGAAAACCGGAATTGTCCTCGTCTCACGGTTCTGCACCTCCGAGGAAGCCGTGTAGATCTTGACTTCGTCATGTGATCGACGTCCTCGGAGCAAGAAATCCCACTTCACGAAATAAACCATCCAATATACTTCTCTTTCGGCTTCCGGTCAGACCAATTTACAAATTCATTCCTACCAACTTTTCCTTCGAAATTGCAAGTCGATTCAGCCTAACTTTCTATTCCAGCCTGACTTTGCGGCAAAGCCCTCTCAGCGGAGGAGGACTCGGTCCGTCTACCAATTCGTTGTTTGTTCGATCACAGAGAACCGTGCAGCCGGAAGCAGATCATTAAGAGGGACCTGCTTCGTTCATGAGCATGACACTCACCGCATTGGTGTGCTCGTCTTTGATTCACCTTAATCCTCATAATTGGCAGGCGAACTCATGTTGGTACATTGAATAATAATGGCGCGATCGGATGTACGCATGTGCGAACAAGGTAATCACGCAAATCGGATTACTGTGACCGAGAACACATTGATTATGACTCGCATTTTTGGTGTAAAGAAAAACTTGTTTAGAGCAAATTCACAATTGGCCGCATCGGATTCCGAAAGAGTGAAGAAGACTATTGCATTTTGCAAACAACTCCTCGAACCAAAGTCATCAGTGCTGAGGTTTGGTCAGTCCCCTCCTACACACATCGAGAAGCCACACACCGAATACTCTAAGCCAATCAAAAGCTGGCCGGCTGCAAATATATTCACTTTGCATACCAAATTTTGCCATTTTCATGAGGCATTCCATGCTCACATGCATTAGATGTGTTCAACCTATTTCGTATACGGTGACTAAAGAATGGCAGTTGAATTTGTCCACGATGGTGTGAGTAGATCCTATGTCTCCATGGAATTTAACATAGCCTTGCTTTACCCAAGGTATTCTCAGCAAGGACTTTGAAAACCTACTTTTAAACAAAAAATGTGATCACAGTTGTTAGTTTGTCTACACAAACCAACGTGTCATCCGGCAATTTTGTCAAATGTCGCATTTATAGGTAGGCTTTTGAGACTATTAGTAGATAATATGTGAGATGTGTTCAGCATATTTCGTTTTGGATGATAAGGGGACTGTTAGTTGAATTTTCCCACAATCCCACAACTCTATTGTTTGACCTTAGGTTAGCATTGAATTTCACAAAGCATGAGTGGACTGAAATTTCGACCTCTCCTGGTCCAAATGAGCACCCCGAACGGGACTCGAATCGTGATAGTGCAGCCTAAAATCTCG